TTTTTTATAATGAATAGAAAATTATATTAAATTATTCTTTATAGCTAATGAAGATGGTGTGAGTGAGACTAGAAACCAAGACCACATATGTGTTAACCCTGCTAGAGCAAGAGTGGAAACTGCTGAAAATAATGTTGTTAAGCAACTGAACCTTGTTTTTGTAGTTGATAATGTAACGGATGGCACTTTTAATCAGACATGCCAAGAGAAATGAATATTATAAGTTAGAACTATCTGGGCTTGGGTAACCCGAGTGCATTTTCTAATCTAAAATACTTCATTCAAAATAATATACCAGATGTTTTATTTTGTATGAGACGTTAACTCATTATAATAAATTGGCAGAGTTGTGATATATGTTGGGTTTTGATAAATGCTTTACTATTGACCGAGAGGGTCGAGGTATGGAGCGACTGTTATGTGGCAGAAGATAACTAATTGTAATATTCAAATTCACTCCATAAATTTTATTGTCATAGAAGTTAAAAACAATAGTCGGGGGAAAGTGGGGACTGACAAGCTTTTATGAATATCTAGAAGGTAATCGTAGGAGAAATTCTTGGGAATTAATTAGATATTTTTCAAGCATATCGAATTTTCCATGGTGTATTGTGAGTGATTTTAATGATATTTTGTCACCAGAAGAGAAAAAAGGTAGAGTGGAACGACCAAATTGGTTGATTAATGGTTTTCATCAAGTTGTTCAAGATGTGGATCTGGTGGATGTTTCTATGCTAGGATATCCTTTTACTTGATTTAAGAATTTGGATTCTCATATAGTAGTTGAAGAAAAATTAGACAAAGCATTAATGAATAAGGATTGGTCTGGGTTGTTCTCTGAAGCAAAAGTCAATTGTTTAATCATTACTACATAAAATTATTATCCCATTCTCATGTGTTGTGAAGCTAATATATCACTTTATAAGAAAGACAATAATTTCAAGTTTGAAAATGTGTGGCTGACTGTACTAGGATTTAATCATTTTTTATTGGTCAATGGAAAAAAGATGCCAATAACAACATCATGGATAGGCTCAAAGCACGTGGAGAAAGACAATTTCCATCATTTGAGAAGAGAAATCAATAAGATTTGTAGAAAGATTAAAAAGATTCATCAGCATATGAATGGAAGGAATATTAATTATTTTACAGTTCTACAAAAGCGCATGGACTATTTTCTTGTTAAAGATGATTCATTTTGGAAACAAATGGTAAAGGCGCATTGGTATAAAGATGGAGATTTGAATACCAATTTTATCATGGTTCAGCAACTTCCAGAAAGAAAGTTAACATTGTAACATCATTAACATACTTGAATGGGGAAGTGAATTCTTCAAATGTTGGTATATGTAGTATTGCGAAAGATTATTTTACGAAAATGTTCAAAAAGGTTATGAGTTTGCAAGAGTAAATGCTTCGGGCTTTGAGTGTTACCATCTCTGTAGAAGATAATGATATACTGATGAAAACGTTCGATATTGAGAAGTTTAAGGAGGATATTTTTTCTATGCAGGCAGACAAGTGTCCGGGTTCAAATGGTTTCAATTCAGGCTTCTATCAACATTTCTGGGAGACTTGTGGTTTTGAGATTTTTAGTGCTTGTTATTCTTGGTTCGATTATGGTGTTTTACCATCTAGCCTTAATGAAACTAATATTACTTTAATTCCTAAAGGATAAGTTCATACTTCCATGAAGGATTGGAGACCGATTGCACTTTATAATGTGTTGTAAAAGGTGATAGCTAAAGTTCCTGCTAATCGGTTTAAAAAATTCATGATATTTGCATTTCTGAAAACCAATTGGCCTTTGTACCAGGTAGATCTATTATTGATAATGCAATGGAATCTATTGAAGTGGTTCATCATATGAAGACTGAAACAAGAGGTAAAGTCAATGAGGTTGATCTTAAACTTGACATCAATAAAGCTTATGACCAAATTGTTTGGGACTATCTAAGGGATGTTTTATTGAAGATGTGGTTTAATCAGAAATTGATAGCACAAATCATGCTATGTTTGGGAATCGTGGATTACTTTTTGATTATAAACGGTACTAAGGTAGGACCCATTATTTCGGGATACGACTTAAGACAAGGTGACCCCTTGTCCTAGTATCTCTTTATTCTTTGTCCTGAAGAACTCTCAGCGCTCATTAAGATAATTGGATCTATAGAGGATATTCATGGTATTAACATTTGTAAGAAGGCTTTAATCATATCTCATATTTTGTTAGTTGATGATTGTTTACTTTTCTTTTGACCTGCGGTGAATAAAGCAGATGTGCTTAAAAATATTCTTGCCACTTATGAGGAAGAATTAGGACAAGCCATTAATTTAGAAAAATCAAAAATATTTTGTAGCAGAAATGTCACAAGCAATATAAATGGATAAATAGATAATATCCTAGGGGTTCAACAAGTACTGGGAATAGGTAAATATCTTGGTCTTCTGTCCATGATTGGATGAAATAGGAAATCCACGCTTCAATTCATAAAGCAAATAGTATTGAATAAGATTAATTCTTGGAGTAGCAAATGTATTTCTCAGGCAGGGAGGGAGACTCTCATCAAAGTTGTTCTTCAACCCATTCCTTCTTATGTCACAAGCATATTCTTATGGCTTTCGTTATTAATTGGCGAAATTGAGAAAATTACGAACTCTTTTTGGAGGGGTCTAACATGAGTCAGGTGAACGTTATTTATTGGATGTCTTGGGATATTTTATCTATGCATAAGAATGATGAAGGTAAGGGGTTAAAAAACCTAGGCACTTTCAACTATGCTATGTTGGGTAAACAAGCTTGGAAGTGTATGACTAGTCCAGGTAATCGAATTACTCAGTTATTTAAAACATGATATTTTTCTAATTATGATTTCCTTAAGTCATCTATTGGACATAATCCCAGTTATTTGTGGCATAATATTCAAAGCTTTAAGTTTTTTGTGAGAGGAGGTTATAGGTAGAGTATTGGCCGAGAGATTCTATTCCAATTTAAGGTCAAAATTAGTTATATGATAGTTCTTCATTGGTAAATCATTGGCCAAATGTCTCGATAATAGATAATTTGAAGCTTTTGAAGTTGATGGCTTATAACGGGAAACGATGGAATAATAATTTGATTCATACTCTTGTTAGAGCTGAAGAAGCGGTAAAAGTTCTCAAAACTCCCTTATTAGAAATTGTTCAGGTTGATAGAAAAGTGTGGAAGTTTGAAAAGAATGGCGTGTAGTTAGTTAGTAATGCCTACCACTATTATATAGAAGAGGCTATTGATACATCTCATCACAAGGTTCGGGAGAGCTGGAAGCTCTTATGGAAATTAAAAACTCCTCAGAGAGAGAAAATTTTCCTTTGCCGTTTAAGCAAAAATGGTGTGCCTACAAAAAAAAAACGGTTGCTAGATAAAGGAATTCAATGTCAGGACTATTGTGAAGTTTGTGGAGAAGTTTTAGAAGATGATAAGAATCTCATGTTTAACTATCATAAAAGTATTGAGTGTTGGGAACTAGTTGGGGTTTGGTCTATAATTCAATAGGCGACGACTGTTAATAATCCTTTCACATCTATAATTTTCTCTCCTTTTCAAGTTCTAAGCCAATAACAACAAATATTGTTTTCAGTCATTATTTAGAGCATTTGGACGGGTAGAAACAATTATATTTGGAATCACACTGAAGATTCTGTAGAAACGATTTGTGATTGAGCCTTTTACTTGCCTATGGGATGGAGAAATGCTCAACAACTCCAATCGAGAAATTCTAATCAAAATGAAACTTCTTTAAACAACTCTTGGAGTAAACCTTCAGTAGGTCGCCTCAAATAGAATATAGATGATTCTTTCTCTACGAATTATAATAAATAAAGTAGGAATATGTGTTTGTGTTCGAGATGAAGAGGGGCAGTTTGTGGTAGCTCGAACAAAGTGGATGTCACATACTATCGAGGTGGATACACATGAAGCTTTAAGCCTCATAACAACAATCAAATGGGTTCATGAGCTTCATTTGAATGGTGTAGATTTTGAGGTAGATTCAAAAAGTGTAGCGGACAATGTAAATAGTCAACAAATGAATATTACAAAATTTGACGAGATAATCAAGGAGTGTAAAGTGTAAACGCTTACCAACCTCTTCTAAAATTTATGTCAATAAATATATTCACATAAGTCAACACAAACACATTATAAGACCATGTGCAATGGGTATGTTGAGTTTGAACTCAACATGCAAAATCTCCTCCAATGGGTGTTGAGAGAGGTGTTGAGTGTGTGTTGGAAGAGAGAGGTGTTGAGAAAACTCAACACAATTGAAGCTGCCACGTGGTTGTGCTTGATTGGCTGACCAGATTTTTATCCATTTAATACTTTGAACTCAATTATTTCGTTGCAAATTAATTAATTTTTTTTTTAAACCAAAATTCATGATTTTTTTTTCTCTATAAATAGAGACTTGGTTCATTTGATTTGGACAAAAAAAAACTAAGTTTTTCACTATCTTAATTTTATTATTAGTGTTTATTTTGAAGTTAAGTGTCTTTTTTTAGTGAAATGGATCCCAATAATCATTTTAACACTCAAAATTCTGTTAATTTTCCATTTAACCAAAATCCCAACATGAAAATAATAAAATTAAATAAGAATATGAAAATAAAAAGTAAAATTTAAATTCCAACATTTAACCAAATTCTGCTAATCATAAAAATAAAAATAAAATTTAAATAAGAATATGAAAATAAAAAGTGGTGGGGTAGGGTGTTGAGTGAAAAACCATTGGAGAGGGTAAAAGTTGAATGAGTGTTGAGTTATTAGGTGGAAGAAAGAGAAAATGATGTGGAGTGTTGGAAGTTGAAAAAGTGGGTGTTGAGTTTTTCAACCATTGTAAATGGTCTAAATAAATTAATCTACCAATTTTTTTAAAATATATTAATGTTTTATCATAATTGTTTTCAAAATCAATTGTACGAACAATCTTTGTTTTGGCATATCTTATGCCAACCTTTTATTCAATAAAGCTTCTGCATTTAAAAAAAAAAAGTTACAACTTACAAGTGTGAATATTTTTCTTCCGACCACCACGTTTCAATCATGCAAAGCAGCATAATGCCAAATATCATTAAAAAAAAAGAAAAGAAAGCAAAATGCAAATATCTAAGTAAAAACAAGAAAAAGAAAACCAAGACGAAATTATTTGGAAGCAATAACCGCGTTGGACTGTGCGTGCCAGAAACAAAACAACAAGCAAGCACCGCCACCAGCCAGCGGAGTAGTGAAGAAAGAAAGCCTCTTCTCTCTCACAGACACAAATAGACAAAGGAAACGAAGGAACCTTATCAACCTTTCATCCTATATTTCCCTAACTAACTCTTTCTTTCCACACAATTCCCGCCACTACTTTTTTCACCTCACCCCTCACAATTCTCAATCATCAACTCCTTCATTACCTCATTTCTAATTTTCATTTTATCATTTTTTTTGTATCCTCAATCCAACCATGGACGAATTTGGTGTATTAACCGAACGCTTCGGCTTGAAGCCGCAAGGTAAATCAGCTCCAATGGCTTCCTCCAAGCGATCTACATCAACAACCCCCGCCGATTCCTCCTCCCGCTCATTTCGATCCCGTTCCCCACAAAACGGATCCGGATCTCCCCAATATCCATCTTTCGATTTCAATTACGGCGTTTTCGGGAGCAGCGGTATCAAAGCGCCGCGTCCGGGAGGTTTTGACAATGGCATTGACGACATCTTTGGCGGAAACGGAAACGGAAACGCCAGATCGAATGTCGGCAAGGGTGTTACCCTTGATGATGATCTCATGTTCGGTGGTTTGAGTCAGTCGGTTTCGACTTCTTCGTCGTCACAGGTTTATGTGGATGATATATTCGGTGGAGGGAATGAAATAAGTGTTGGTCTTGATGATTTGCTAGGTAAGATTGGTGGATTGCATGCCACGAGCAATAAAAGTTCGATGAATAAATCGCCTGATTTTGATGATTTGATGGCTGGGTTTGGTGGTAGCAGCGTTAACAATAACGGGTATGGGATTTTGTTTTCAGTTTCTGGTTACTTTTTGTTCTTTTTATATTGAAAGTTGATTCTAAAATTTATGATCATTTAAATGATGTTACTTTTTCTGGAATGTATGGTTGATTAGCTTAAAGGACTAGCATGATATCTGTTTTATGGATTTAAGGACTAGCTCTAACTCATTCATAAACTCTGGAATTAATGTGGACGAAAATTTACCTATTTTACAAAATTAAACCCCTTTTAAGTTTTAACCCCATTTTTATTTTTGCAATGACACAAGAATTCTATGTCGGCCGGAAAAGCAAGAATTTATGATAAAACAGCAACAAAGCCTTATCACACTAAGTGGAAAAAGCAAGAAGTTATGATGATATAAGTTTTTAGTTATGAACTTAAGCCAGAAATTATGATGATATAAGTTTTTAGTGATGAACTTATCTGCATACATGCATAGAGATAGAGATACAATATTCGATAAAGTACACTGTACGGGTAGGAGGGATAGCTCAACTAGGTGGTAGGGTGGGAGGGGTAGCTTAACTAGCTTGAAACAGTTGGGTTAAGGGTTAAAAGGAATTGGAAGTACATGGTTAGTCCCGGTAAGGGTGTAAATATATACTAACAAAAGAAAAGATACATTACTCTTACATGCTCAAAGCAAGCTTTGGATGGTGTTAGAGAAAAACAAATCCATTGTGTACTTTGTGGATATGAGCATTGAGTATTACCCTCTTATGATGGATTATAGATGCCACAAATACTTTGGCCTTGTTTATATTCTCATGATTTGAACATGAATATTTGAGATTCGAGACTGGCATTCTGCTGCGGATGATGGATGTCGCACAGAAAAATTTAGATTTAGGTTAATTATGAATCTGGTGCTAGTTTTTTTCCTTCTTCAAGTTTCCAGCCATGCTTTATTTGAATACTCAACCTTTGTGTCCTCGTTCCGGATGTGTATAGAAATTCAGATGATTCTGAACTTGATGTGTATAGAAATTCAGATGATTCTGAACTCGGACGGAGTCATTGTTCCTAGTGTGGTATTTGAAGCTACCAATACATGCTTCTCGATGTTAGTATTATTCCGGAGTAGCTTTGGTCATTCTTTCTACTTCATTTCTAAGTGCAATGACATATTTTTCTATCTACAGTTGCTTTGAGTAGTTTTTCGAGTGAATTTTAAACAACAGCATACATTTTCTCTTACCTTTTTATCGATAGTTGCCATCCTTCTCAATTGTATCAATCAATGTAACTGTGTTCTTTCTTCTGCTAGGAAAGCAAGCAAACCGACTGCCACATCTCATGACGATCCATTTTTAGTATTTGAAACTTTAAGCACAACATCTTCAGGATCATTCCTGGACTCATTAGAAAAAACGAGTAAGAATAGTTCTAAAGCAAAAAGTGGAAGCTCCAGTCCCTCCCCATTATTGAGGCCTCCACCGTCAGGGAATGCTTCAAACTCCTGTAAAGATTCTTTCAAATACTTAGAAGACGTGAATAGTCATCTTTTTTATTACTGACTATGCGATCTTTTGATATCATTTTTTGACGCAGTTAACAACTCAAATATATCATCAATAGATGAGCTTGAGAACTTTGCCATGGGCCAGGTGCAGAGTAATGCTAATAGAAGAGCAAATACCAATACTGGTGAGATTAAGCAAAACTCAGCGGCTAAGACAAACAAAGATAAAGGATCTCCAGCTACAAAAGTGAATCAATCAAATGGTGCGGATGATCTTGAATCCTTTTTCAGCATGGGGTCTCGATCAAACAGTGTACCAAAGTCAAGGACAACAACTATGGTAAAAGTTAAAAATATAATAAGGTCTTGTTAACGAGTGCTCTAAAGACATTGGTTAAGAAGTCCATAAAAGGGAAGTTTAACTTGAAAATACAAGTTGAACATTTGTCAATGCAATAAATCTATTTCTTTTGATTTCTTAAACAATGTCCTAATGGCACTTGTTAGCATTCCCCATATAATAATATCAAAGATATTGCCACATTGAAAGACTATTTTCAATATTTTTTACTGATGCACTGTGTAGGATCATATGTTCGATCGCCAAGTAAACAATAAACAAAAACATGAAGGATCACAAAGAGTGCCATCACGATCCCCAGCCAATGCAAAAAAATCTTCACCCACAACATCTTTTGATGACTTGTCATTGATATTTGGCGGTAAGTTCTTTAAGTTTACTGATTTCTATTATAGTGAAGTGATTTTATTGTCAACCTATCATTTTGTTTCGTTTTGTTGCAAAAGCTTCCCCATCATCGGAATTTGAGGAAATGGAAGGTGAAACTGAAGAAAGGAGAAAAGCGAGATTGGGACGTCACCAGAGAACCCAAGAGCGAGCGGTGTGTATTATCTTGCTCAATTTTCCGAATTTCTATTAACAAGGGATGGGGACTCATCATTGCAAATTGAATGTCATATTTCTATTAACATTTTTTTCTGATGCTTAATTTTCTAAAATGATTGGATTGATTAATTCTCTATTATCTTGGATATTTTAGCTAATTCATCTTTAATCTTGAGCTCAAAGTACATATGTTACCTTAATAGGTTATTTTGGACCGTGACATTAGAAATTTATATTGACATTATTTCTCATGGGACAATTTTGCTCTTTTGACTGTCATGGTTCCAGTTGAAAGCAGTGGCTGATATGAACCAGCGTGAACTTCAATCTAAGATGGAGCAAGAAGAGAGACGTGTAAGCTTTTGTAGTGTTTTTATTTGGGTCATGATTTATTTCCAAGGATAGTCCTAATATAATTTTCCCCAGTTCTTTTTAAATTTTGTATATTTGTCAGATTTCTTAGTGCGGCAATTGATTTTAATTTGCAGCGAATAGCCGACACTGTGGATGTTCAGATAAAGAGGTGGGCTGCAGGGAAAGAAGGCAATATGCGGGCATTGCTTTCATCATTGCAAAATGTATGGTTTCTTACCATTATTGTTGTTATAATTGTTAATACTTAATTTCACTTTAGGCTCTTGCATTGACCAATTTAACCCTGCAGTCTGATTTGGATTCTTACCATCAAAATGCAATAAGGTTTTATTGAAAAGGAAATAGAAACATCAGATTGTTTGGCTTTCAATGTGCTAGATAGGCATTTGAAACCTAGGCTCTGAATAGCTTTCACTTTGAGTGCTTGGGCAGAAGGATTTAAAATCCAGTGTAAAATATCAAAGAAATGGAAAATAAAGATATGATTATATATAAATGGAATTATTTAGGAGAAACTTTATTTTCTATTCATGTATTGTGTGAGTTGTTAATCGTATTTGTGTTTAAACTGTATGCAACTGTGTAAACCAACATAGTAGAATAAATGGAATATGTTGATTGAGTTGTTGACTGAAAGCTACATTAAGTTTTATTCTTGCCCGTCAATTCCAACCATACATTTCTTCTGTTAAGGGGTTGAGAATTATTAATAGCTTCTCGAAAATAAATGTACCTTTGATTGTGCTATTGTGCCAGTTTATTTATCGTTAACCCGATGCTTTTTGCTTGATAAATCTTTCCTCAGTCATTACTAACATCTCATTTAACAGGAAGATAGTGTACCTGTCTTTTGTTGCCTCTGATAAATAATAATTCAATTTGATTTTTTTTCTTCTGTATCCTGAAACATTTGTTTCATTCCACACTTCTTACCTTCGAATTTATATTCAGGTTCTTTCGGCAGATTGCGGGTGGCAACCAGTGTCTTTGACGGACATGATCACTTCAACTTCAGTGAAAAAAGTGTATAGAAAAGCCACATTATGTATTCATCCAGATAAAGTCCAACAGAAAGGTGCTAATCTTGAGCAAAAATATACTGCGGAGAAGGTTTTTGACATCCTTAAGGTACCTTGTTAAATAGTAATTCTGAAAAACTGCTATGCTTAGCTAGAAATTCATACTTTCTATTTATCCCCTTTCATAAAAGTCACAATTCTGCCACAGCTATGTAATACTGCATATAATTCTATTGAGCTACTGCTAGCTTGATTTACACTAATCACCACCATTTATCTGGACATATAAATCTCCCCTTCCTACTGCTCGAAGAATTTTTTATGAGGAAAATAACCAACTTACTTTTTTCACATTTTTAATTGATATATAATATACCTGGGCGCACCTTTTATATAGTTTTATTCTTTCTGATCTTGAAACAGGAAGCCTGGACTAAGTTTAATGCGGAAGAGCTTTGCTAAATCTGTCACTTGAGGTTATCACCTCTTCCTAAATCTGTCACTTGAGGTCATCGCGAGTCAATGGATCCATCAGTGACTTGCACTGTTTTGGTTTGGGACTTTCACTTGCCTGGTTGATGCCTGATACATGTTTTTCTTGTGCAGTCGAAGATTATTACTCTGCACATATATATTACATGGTGTCATTTGGCTGCATATTCGTTGTCCTATAATGATGTTGAATGCTCTAATGTAAGTCTTCATAGTACATTATGTTATTTAACAATTTAGGCGGCAACTTATATTTCAGTCGGCCTGATAAAATCGTGAAGGGGTAGACTTCATATTTCTGGTGTATATTTGGATTGACGTGAGATCGATGAGCTCCCTGCCTATCTAGACATACATTTATTAATTTTTTGAAGAAAAATGCAAAGTTGCATACGGAATGAGGATAATTCAGTTATTACTTGTAATTAGGCTTTTATTTACTAATAGAAATGTGATTTTTTTTGTTGCAATAATTCAGGTTTTGAAAAAAAATACAATTTAGAAAACGATAGTATACATTAGCCAACTCAGATGATACATGCATTAATTTTTTTAATGGAGGCGTCAAATGAGATGACGCTTAGGTGCAAAGTGGTTTTTTATTCTGAATTTTTTTTGTTAAAAAAGGAAAAGACAATTTCTCCGTAAATGAAAGTTTGATTTTCAATAATAATTAAATAACTATATAATGAGAATAAAAGTTACATATTATCTAGTTATCGTTTGGGACTCGATAACGACTTGTGGTTCCGTATCCGCGTCTTCGCCTAATTTGTGGTGAGTTTCAACGACTATCCTGTTGCGATTGGGTCGAGGGTCCTGTGAAATCATTGTGTTTAGGATCCATGAAATCTGCCAGATTAGCATATCTGGAAGACTCAGGTTTAAACAGTCGGTAATCCATGTCTTCAAAATTTGGTCGTATTGGTGGAGATAGAGTTTCATGGGTGGTCGATATAAATAAGGGGGTAAAAAGAAAATAAATCTTGTGGAGTTTGGTACTGTGATTGCTGGGTGCTATGGTGATGTGATGACTGATCGTAAGTTGGGTTGATTGACGAATATTCTTCAGGTAGGCCAAGATTTAGGCTAAGGTGAGATGATGATGGGCCCATATCGAGATGACCGATGTATGGTTGGTGTTCTTGGTACTGTGATTAAGTATGGGTTTTTTTGGGTGTATTGGTATTAAAGTTGTGATTGGATGTTTGTGGATCTGTATCATCATGGTGTTTGGTGGGAGGTTGATGTGTGTTAGATTTGTTGTTGGGTAGTGTATGATTGTTGGTAGTGTTGTTGGGGATTTGAGGATTGTGTCTATTGTGTGCGTGGGTCGATCACATACTGTTGGGGTTGTTGTGAGGTGGTGTATGATTGTTATCTCAACGAAATTTTTCTCATTACAAACATTTGTTACAATATACCAAACACAAACAAGACATAATATGCCATCACGACTAAAACAACAACACAAACACCAGATAAACCAACAACACATACGCCGCATAAAAATAACACAACAACATATCTAAGAAATGACAACCGTCAATAATTTTATCGGATCCGTGCATCATCACCATTACGTCTCTGTCTGTTTTGACTTTCTTCAATCAAGAATGAGGTCTTCTAGTTGCAAGTGAGATTGATGTTATTCTTCTCTGGATCTTTCTAATTTGTTCTCTAGCTATCATTTTTATCAGAGGTTTGGTGGCCGAGAAAATAACGTACTCATCTCTCGTGAAAATCATGGGAGATGTCATGATGCAAAACACAGAAAAAATGAAAAGAGAATGTGAGAAAATGTGAAGAATGTTGGAGAAATAAGTATTTTATTTATAGAAAATACAATTACATGTAAGCGTAATCTCAAATGGCGCCTCCTACCACAAACTAAGAGCATGCACCATTCCATATGACTTAAAGAAAGTGCATGTGCAATGTGGGATAGGACCTAAGGTCAAAGTAACAGTGCATGCCCAATCTGAGTTGGCTACTGCATGTTAACGTTTTTTAAAACATGATTATTTATATAATTTTTTTTGAAACATAGTTATTTGTATTTTCTTAATACCTGATTATTGCAAAAAAAAAAAAGAATTCTAAAAATGTTTAGGTTGATATTTTATTTGAATTGGTGAGTTATATCAATGAATGCCCTCTTCTTTTTTTTTTTTAATTCAAATAGCTATATACTACTTTCTTTTCTTAAAATAAGTGTTTTTTTAGCTATAAAAAATTGTCTCAAAATAATAGTCTCTTTACTTTTTCAATGTAACATTGATTAACTTTTACCAACTTTACCCTTTGTCTACACTCTTTTCAAGTTATGACAATATATATCAACCATAGTAATTAAGAGTAATTTTTTAAAAATATTATCTTTATTGACTCAGTCATTACTTTTTTAATCTATGTATAACAACCTTAAACGACATTTATTTTTGAGACCGAGAGAATATTAAGAAAGCCAATGGAAAAAAGATAAAGGCAATAGACTATAATGTTTTGAGGAATTAACATACCATCTCTCATTTTTCTAAATGTCAAAAATGTCCATGAACAAATTAGGGAGTGACAAAGAATAAAAATTTTGGTAAAAACCAAAAATTTCGATAGTATAATTTTTTTTTTATAATACAGGAAATTATCCAAATATAGAGTGACATGTATAACTATAAGGATGGCATGTTAATTCATCAAACCTTTTTGATATTTTCCACTCTACAGTACTATAACGTTTTGGGTATTCTCCACTCTATAGTACGCGAGCCTATATTTTTTCCCCAGCTTTAACAGGCTCTTTTTTGACCAAAACAAAAAGCTCTTCAGCAAGCTCATGATGTTGCTTCTAACATAATGGAAATTTAATCAATTAAACTAGAAAAATGTTCCTATAATAAGTGGCAGAGTATATATATATATATATATATATATATATATATATATATATATATATATATATATATATATATATATATATATATATATATATATATATATATATATATATATATATATAAACAAAAGAGACACGTCATTTTATCAACAAAATATAATTTAAAATAACCTTACAATAACATGTTAAATAAAATTACTAGGCAAATGCCCGTTCTGAAACTTCTTTACGGCAAATGTTCGAATAATATCAATATTATCAAGTGATTTGAATATCTCCCGCTTGGAATAACATACCATCAAGTCATTTTATTGTGCAATTTAGATTTGATAATCTTCATTGTTGAAAAAGTTCTTTCAACATATACTCTCGACACCGACAATATCAAAATTAACTCAATAAATTTATAAACCAATAGAAATACCAAATATTTCTTAATTTGAACCATCTTCAAAGTCAAACTTTGAACATCATCACAAATGTGAAAAATGAAATAATTCTTCTCACTTGAACAACAAAATATAAAGTAATAAAATTGTAGTTTCAAAATAAACATATTTACTTGGGTGTGCCGTCTTTTCTTGCTGAAAATTTTTTTATAGAATTTTTGTTTATATAGCATCTAAAATAAATTTAAACTAAGCAAATTTATGACTTTTTCAAGACATTTCTGCTCTTTATTCTACTTAAAAATTCTGGCCCAAATTGTGTTGATGTTTTAGACACGTTTTTATGGTTCAATCATATTTATAAGTTTATCCATTAATAAATTTAGGCCTACAATGTTATACACATGATTTGTGTTTTTTGACACAAAAGTTTGAAAGTAAAACATGATAAATCTCATATGATTTCCATTATCACTCAATTCTTGACTCACTAATAATCCAAAAATTAAAACTCAACGTGGGTCAGATATTTTGTCAAACATCTAGAATGCAAGTTTGGAAATTTGAATTATGAGCTTAGCAACTAACTTCAACAATCCAGATTTTTGCATATTAAGAAGAGAAGAAGGTGGGTCAAATACATACTTAAGCAAAATAGAGTGATTGAAATCTAGTAACTTATCTGTTATGGGATTATGAAAGAGAAGACGGCAGAGAGGAGGAAATAGAAGGAGCCGGCGACAGAGGAAGAGAAGAGACAGAGAAGGAGGAAGACGACGATGACGGAGGGAGGTCGGAGGAACTGCCACTCGTCACGGAGTCGGAGAGACGGAAACTTTGCTTTTCCTTTTCCTCTTTCTGTCTTCCCGTTCTTTCTGTCTTCCACTCTTTTTTTTTTTTTTAATTATATTTTATTTTATTTGTTTTTTATGACTAACAAATTTTTTTTTGGGCTGGACCGAGGCGGGACATATGCCCCTCCTGACAGCATGGAAGAACTGCCACTGCTTACAATCCAAGGTAACATTGGCAATACCTGCCACTGTCTGAATATTAGATTAAAAAAACCCGATTCTTAATAATTACTAGATTTCTTAAGAGCCAAAATTTCCACAAAGAACTGCAAAATATTTGAATTTTTTTTTTTGTATGTGAGGGCTATGAAACAGCCATAATTCAGATCATCACAGGAAGGGGCATTAATGTCTGAGGGAAAAACAATGCATGAAGCGATGTTCAAAGTTTTCTTCATCGTTGAAACAGAGAGCAAACCAGATTCATTTAGACTTTTTTTAATGGGGTTGTAAAGGTTGACTCAATATCTATGGTTTGTTCTTTCCAGTCTTATACGCGTTCTTCTACGACCATAAAAAGTTATAACTACCTTTTTAACGTCCGAAGATACATTTGTAGACGTATCTTTTTTTATGCATTTTTGTGTAAATTGTTGAGTTATCTTAATTTTATAAAAATTTGGGTATGTTTGGAGATACATCTTTAAATAATTTTTTTTAATAAGAAGAGATGAATTTTAGAATAACACATTCTAGTGTGTGATTTTGAATGTATTCGAAACACTAAAATAATATATTATGGTGCGCGATTTTGAGTGTGTTCAGAGATACATATTCCCAGTTAGTAATTGAATATGCATCTCCGAATAAATTTTTTTAATAAAATAAAAT